AAAACGCTACGAATTAATTCCAACACCTAATATATATAAAATATACATTACACAGTTAATAGTCACATACATAATTTTCGTACGATGCTGTACGTTTATGAAATATATAAGTATATCATATTCAAAGTTTTAGCAAATGTATACACTTATAGGTCAATGTGTACGTTGACTAACAGCAAGTTACAATAAGTATATTTTTACTAAATGAACACTCTGACTGTGACTTAGATATATCTTCGGATGCAACTATGTATTTGAAATACATGTATACACATGTAATGTAATAGCACTTTTTCCTTCATTCCCAATGCCATTTTTAACTTAGGATGTAACATGTATTTTCAGTACGTAAATACATTGCACATACATATGTAGCTATTCCATCTCTTTTTATTATGTTAATGGGCCTTTTACAATTATAAGCCATAAAAAAGCCATAAATAAGAAGTCAGACGCTAAAAATTGACTGTGATTGATTTTTAGCTTCTGACTTCTGATTTGTAACTAATGGCTTATTGTAGAAGACCTATAATAAAGAGAGATAGAAGTTACTCATACTTAGCTTTTCAGATAGCTTTTACTTTGCAGATATAATATAGACACAGTGAGTGAATATTAGAATTATATTTTATGTGCATTATGACACACATTACAAAACATAAAATATATTTCTAATTCATATTCATATACGTATGTAGCTACTTCATCTCTTTTTGTTACGTGTAACAAAAAGGTGTAAAGATGTCCTCTTTTTTTCTACGTTTAATAAAAAGAGATGTTTTTTTATGATCAAATATACAGATATTAGTGATATATGCTTTTATATTTTCAATATCAGAATATACATACAACTAACATAAATCAAAGCTAACGAGAGTCAAACGCAGATGATCAGACATAACATTTAAAAAAAAATAATTAAATTGCGAATCCTCTGATAAATCCTCATTTTATATGTACATATATACGTTATATATATATATATATATATATATATATATACAATATTCCATTTTTAAACATAGGGAATGCATAAATAGCTTAGCATTGATAACTTCTATCTGCAACGTATGTACTCACACACTATAGTATACATATATGTAATATTGTATAATATCGTCTCTATGTGTATTATATTTAAGTACACATATCACTAATATTTTAACATGATTAACTTCTACATCTTTTTATTAAACGTAGCAACAAATGATA